GGGGGGGGGGGGGGGAGTGCGGGCGTACTCCCTTGTATAAGCTAATATATAGAATAAAAAATAACAAGCAGAATGTCAGCTAACAAAATATTCATGTTTCTAATAAAGCCCCCTAGCGGAAATGCTAAAAGGCAAAGCATGTATTGTAGTGATTTGAAAAAAGAAAAGAGAAAGACCGCAAAAAAATAAATACTCTACTTATTAGCCATATATGGTCAGAAAATTTTGCTGTTTGAAACTTAAGCTATTTGGAACTAGTTGATAAACTATTTATTGTATAAGACTCCAAACATGTATGTATGTATTTATGTAGGTATGTGCCGCCCCATGGGGTAGAGGTTTTGTGTCGTTTTGGTCTGAAAACGGGTATACTCTTTGCCCATTTTGGACTGGAATAGGGTATGGTTTTCGAGGGAACTACGGAGTGTATGAACGTATTTATCGTTTCAATTCCAAATGAGTGAGAAAGAAAGAGAAATATGCGAATTCGAAATGGATTTGATGAATTTTTTTGTTTGCACTCTAATATAAGTAATGATAACGTAATTTCTGCCTAAAGGCAAGGTCTGAAAACAGATGTGGAAAATTACATTTTTGGGTCTGAAATTGGGTCAGGATTTGAAGAACCCGACCCGGGGTTGAGGGTTCAACAACTGTCATTTCCAAGCTCTTTTGCTAATAATATAATTTTTGCATCAGTAATCGTGCTTAGGTGCAATTGACATTTTTGTTTCCTGGCGAAAAATTTCGATCAGAATGAATGTGTTTGCGATTATATGAAAACATATGTAACAATCGAAGGGCATAGTTATGGACGTCCGTGAAAGGTAATAATTTCGGCGAGTTGATTAGCAAAACCGGAAATCGCCACCAGGTAACCTGTAAAATATTTATTCTGCGGGTATTTTCTTTAGGGGTTGGCTTAGATCCGAGCAAATAATTCCGCAAAAAAAGTCAGTGTTCTTAGTGAAAATAATGGGTAAGTAGGTCTTTACGACGATACCCTCATGCTAAAATGCCGCTTGTTCTATATCCTCTTTTTTATACTCTGGAGGGTTCTATGTTTGACTGAGGAAAATGTGATTTTTGCCGCTTGTATCGCACTGAGAGGTCATGGCACGCATACTAATATTCTGTGGTTTTGTTCCTGGTCGGCAAGATTTGCCCTCGGATGCAAGAGCATAAGAGTAAAAGCTTTAATAAATATCAGGGTTTACGTTTCTATAATTTCCTCCAAAGTTTCTTCTGGATCTGAATAACTAAGCGATTTACTTTGTCCGTGAATTTGATGGTTTAATATAAGCGCATGCCATTATCAAGGTCAAAATGATAAAATTAAAAGGCGTTCTTACCTGCTGGACATACTCTTAATGATCTCTTAACAAGGCTACTGAAACAATGACCTTCCCGCTATTGACTCAAGGATGCACTAAAAATGGAACACAGAAAGCAAAAGGAAGGCAGTTGATATCATAAAGTAACGTACTAAAACTTGCCACGAGGCATTTAGATGAAAGCAAGAAACAGTGGAAAGATTACTTACCTAAAATCAGCAGAATTTGGATGTAGAAAAAGTTGCAACCTTAACATTCAGCTGCATCAAATTGGAGATACACAACGAACGCGACTATAACCGTTACTCCTCAGGTGGCATTCCGCGTACCCCGTGCAATAAATAATAGGCGTCATAATAGGAATTGCCTGTGTAAGTCCCAAAATTGACACCATAACAAAAGGGAGGGATGGTTTACAAAGAAATTGCATTGTTTGCTGACAGAGTTTTAATGATTGACGTATTCAGTTTGTACACGCTCTTTGGTGCTTAATGTTAAATCCACGTGCTCGACTTCGCACTAGCCTGCGCGCGGTGCACCCTAGTTGTCACTCAAAGCCAGCGCTCTCTTTGAACTTTCCTAACTAGCTGTCATTTTCCTTCCTCAGCCCAAAAATAACTGGCAACTAAATTAGCCAGAGCACATTCTTAAAAGCCGCAGGAAGCCAGAGGCGATAGGAATATGTTTTTTTCCAGCCAGCATCGACATTCAAAATGAAAAACCACAGCCAGAAAAGCGTTTCGGCAAAGTTCCCAGCAAGAGTTTCTCATCCTTTATTTAGTTACCAGCCAGCAAATTCTTAGCCTGAGGAGCGGATAATTTGAGGAGCGGATCCGTTGGGTACTCCTGCTTCTAATTGTTGCTGTGTGGTGTACTGTAAGTGATTCTCTCCACCAAACCTCTCAGGTAAAAAGAATAGTTCATCTGGTCGACCAGGCACAGTATCATGCCTATATTGTCGGATATAGTGGGTGTTCCAATGCAACACAACAAAATCCAGGTCATGCTGCAGAAGTTCATTAAAACAAAACCAGATACATTCATTGTGGTACATATTTCCTGGTAAAAAGACCCCTCTGTCTAACAGGTCTTTAAAGAAATTAATCCACCATGTTGTACGAGATTTTTTTAAATGCGACCACCAACATTCAACTCTTTGATTCCCCGTCGAGGGACCATATCTGGGAGCCTTCTCTCCAGTAAATTCATCATTTCCATTTGCGCTCAAAAGACACTGCATAGTTGCTGTTACGAAAAATTGTATTGCGAGACTAGCGTGACTTTCTAGAAGCTTCGCGAGAGTTCATAGTTTGTTTATTTTAGGCTCTTGCGTAAGCGTTTCTAAAGCGGTATATTTTGTAATCTTTATATAATTAGACTATTTGGAAAGTTCTAGAATCTTATTGTAAACGTATATAAGTAGGCGAGCCCGAGTTAAGTTTCAACTAGTTTTCACAAGCGAAGAGAGTTTGACGTTAGTCGTGTGTAGTCAAGTGTGACGAAGCAGTGTTTACTCAAGTTGGCGGAGGCCGTGTAAGTTTACCAAGTAAATTGAAGTTGGCGGAGGCCGTGTAAGTTTATCGAGTTAAGTGCTGTTGTGGAGTTTTACTTCGTGGAAACTACGTTCATTTGTGGAATAAATCTTCTTGTTGCTGTTCCGACAACCCTGCGTTCAGTTTGGTTTGCAAGCTACCCGTCCTCTAAAAGATTACGCGCGTAACATTGGGGGCCTGTCCGGGGGAGGAATTCAATTGTTTGCCGACTACAGTAACCAGGAAAGGACAGTTCAAGAAAAAGGAGTGTACAGAGGAGTAAGAAAAACTGCTACGAGGAAGTATATCAAGTTTGATTGCTGTTAACTACTGCTGTGGAAATGGAAAAGCTTTTGCAGATAGGGAAAGAATTCGGATTGGAGGGAGAAAAGCTGCTCGAGTTTGTAGAAAAACAACAAAAGTTAGAAGAAGAAAGAAGGAGGGAGGAGGAAGAGAAAGAAGGAAAACGTAGACAGAAGAAGAAAAAGAAGAATAACGTAGACAATTGGGAGAGGAAAAAGAAGAAAAGCGTAGACTGTTGGAAGAACAAAAAGAGGAGAAACGTCGAATGCTTGAGGAAGATAGAAGAAAAGAAGACGAAGAAAGAGAAACTAGACGGCAAGAACGCGAACTGGGAAAATTAGAGCTGGAAGCAGACCTGTTGAAACAGAGAGAGGCTATTGAAGCCGCTAGGAGAGAGCATGAACTAGAGCTCGCTCGTTTAGCACAAGGCCGTAACGATACCGAACGTGCTGAAGTGAGAGAGGATAGGGCCAAGACACCCAAGCCAAGACACCCAAGCTCCCCTCATTTGTTGATGGCAAGGACGACTTGGATGCTTACCTGCAACGATTTGAGAGATTTGCAACTACAGCTAAATGGGCGAAGACAGGATAGGCTTCGAAACTTAGTGCTCTTTTGTCTGGACGTGCGCTAGAGGTTTATTCACGATTATCTGAGGAAGCAGCCCAAGATTATGACCGAGTGAAGTTGGCTTTGATGAAGAGATATGATGAGGACAGCTATCGTCGTAAATTTAGAGCATCAAAGCCGGAAGTTGACGAGAGTCCTGAACAGTTTATAGTGAGACTGGATAGATACTTGTTGCGTTGGCTGGAACTTTCGCACACGGAACGATCGTTTGAAGGCCTGAAAGATTTAATTGTGAAAGAACAGTTTATTGACTCTTGTCCAAAAGAGTTAGCTATTCACCTTCGTGAAAGAGCCCCGGAAACGCTTGTTCAGATAGCGAAGACTGCCGATCAGTACTTAGAAGTACACGGAAAGCATCTGTTCAGCTCTGCGAGCAAGAAGCCACAAGTACAGCCCAAGGCGGAGGAACAAAGACTGCACAGAGTGATACAACAGCCCTCCAGTGTTACAAGTGTAATGCCCGCGGACACAAAGCTATTAGGGACTTTAAGATACAAGAACGCGGACGTCATCAAAGACGCCGTAGCCGCGTGGGGCCTGTGTCGAGGACGCCGTGTTTGTGGCGGGAAAAATAAGTTAAGATGGCGGGATTCAGCGACGCGGCCACTTATTGATAGAAAAGAAAAGTAGCGAATTTGTTTTTCTCTCCGAAGTAACAGATACTAATTATATTAGTGTTTTTAGTGCAAATGGCGACTTTTAAAGAAACCCGAGAAGTTTTGCTTGCTAGCTATGCCTGTGGTATCATTACGGATGAGGAATTTTCTTTACTTTTCGAAGAAAACAGTTCAAGCAACTTAGATTTCCCTTACGACAACTACCCGCCGTTCAATCTGGAGAGCCAAAGTGAAGCTGAGTGTAGGGCGAACTTCAGGGTTGAAAAGCACCACATTCCTCTGGTAGAAGATGTTCTTCAAATTCCGCAATTCTTCGTATGCGACCAGGGAACGGTTTGCGAAGGAACAGAAGGGCTTTGTATGCTTTTAAAGCGATATGCCTTTCCTTGTCGGTACTCCGACATGATACCTATTTTTGGACGACCGGTTCCAGAACTTTGTATGATAAGCAACACCGTAACAGACTGGATTTATGCGCATCATAGCCACAGAATCACGCAGTGGAACCAAACCATTTTAAATCCACTGGAGCTGGAAAAGTATGCGGAAGTTGTTTTCAACAAAGGTGCGCCACTAAGCAATTGCTTTGGTTTCGTAGATGGAACCGTGCGCCCAATTACTCGACCTGGGGAAAACCAGCGACTACTCTACAACGGTCACAAACGCGTACATGGATTAAAGTTTCAGTCCTTGGTCCTACCGAATGGGTTAATTGCACACTTGTATGGTCCAGTTGGTAAGCCACGCTGCTAACAAACTAAAAATAATATTTTAGCTTGCAAGCCTCCACTTCAGTTACCCTACAAACAAACCTACTAGGAAGATCTAAAATTGCTTTCATTACTTACTCTTTCTTAAGTCTCCTCCCAATTACTATGCTTATTATAAGAAGAAGGGTTAAAACAATTGTGAGAAAAGCAAATTCGAATTTCACGGGCTTTTCCATTGACCACCCTCACCCTCACCCCCACCGGCCCATTTTCTCTTGCCACTCTCTGTCAGTAAAGAAGTAAACTGCATGGATAACATATCAACACTGATTTCTATTTATTAACTTAAGTTTCTTATCTTGTCTAAACAGAAGGTAGGAGGCATGACGCAGCAATGTTGGCAGAGTCTGGCCTTTACAACAGTCTCAGGGCGCATGCTGTCTCAACAACTGGCCAACCGATGTGTATATACGGGGATCCAGCATATCCCCTTCGAATGCATCTCCAGGGACCTTTCCGGCAGCGAATACTGACTCCCCAACAGCAAGCTTACAACAGTTCCATGAGTGCAGTTCGCTGTTCCGTTGAATGGCTTTTTTCTGATATTTTAAATTATTTCAAATTTCTTGATTTCAAACGGAATTTAAAAATAGGGCTAAGCCAAGTAGGCAAAATGTACATTGTCTGTGCAATCCTTCAAAATGTTTTAACATGCTTGTACGGTAATTCAACATCCCAGTTTTTTGACCTAGATCCACCTTCTCTAGAGCATTATTTTTCCTAATCATGCTGTTTTGTAACCACCCAACATAAGACCTAAAAACTGTTCTGCGTTTATATGGGAAGATACCAAGAAAAGTAAATCAATGTCAAATAAAATTAAACACAACGAATAACTTGGCTTTATTATGGCTGTCAGCATCAATTTAAATCCAGTCATGAAAAATGTAAATTTTTAACCTTCTAAACACGTGGAAATAAAGTCCAAACTCCAGTCATTAAACATCTAACACGGTTACAGTTCTGATTGTCTTTCGCCGGATTGAAGTCCAGGCCAACTTAGTTCAAGTTTATATAACAACAAAGTAAACCGAGACCTGAAGCACCGCAAGGAATTAAAAAAAAAACCGAGTTTGTTTATTTCGGAACTAGTGTTTCAATAATCTTCATCATTGCTGTGGTTTGCAGCTGCTGCTGCTGCATTAGTAAGGATTGCATGTCATGCATTTGTTTATGCTGTTCCTGTTGTTGTTTTAACATTTGGTTGAACATATAAGTTTGCTGATTTTGGGCTATAGCCATCTTCTCTTGCTCCTGTTTTCTCAAATCCAATTCTTGCTTCTTAATATCCATGTCTTGCTCCGCCTTTAGTTTAAGAAACTCTACCGTTTCACTACCACTTCTTCTGCTTTTTTTCGCTTTGCTCTGCCCCTCCTCGGACTTTCTCTTCTGTGTTTTCCCTAATGTCTCCATAGCAGTTCTGCGCATCTCTTCTGCTTTCAGCCTGTCTCCTTCCATCTTGTCCCTCTTTTCGCCGTCTTCCAGGTCGTGCTGCTCATCGGCAGACTCTTCCATGGCAATAATTTGTTCTATAGCTTCATCTAATTCAGTTTTCGTAGGGCTTATACCACTTTCCTTCAATTCCTTGGCCTCTTTTCTTTTAAATCTTTGCACCAAAACCCCGATATGGTCTCGAACTGAGCGTTTATCCACAAAAAAAACAGGATCTTTAATGCTGTTTAGGGTATCCGCCACTCTTTGCCACAAGGCACTTCGCTGAACGGATTTCTTCTTTGCACTGAATGGGTTTACAAAGATTATTTCTCGGCAAAAAACCACATCATGTTCCTCCGTCCAGTTCATAATCCTGCCGACAAAAATAAGCGACATATACATTTTTTAATATACGTGCACAGCTACAAGAAAATTAAAGCAAACCTTGAATGTTGTACTATATGCGGAAATCACTTTTAGAAAATAATTTGAATCTATCGTTTACAGCGGCAAAGTCTTGGACGTCGGCTGGCCAAGCCAAGTGTGTGTAAAGTTATAAACCCGCTACTCTGTAGGAACTGCTTAATAAAGCAAACATTTTGCCGTCAGAGGCACTTATTTGGCAAACATAGTCCTTTACATGTTTCTGTTAATTTGTTTTGTTGTCTTTTCTTTAAAATCTCACACAACTTCTGCGGGAAATAGTGCGTGAATTAAATTCCCGCAAAATGAAGCGTAATGCGAGTAACCAAGATCTGTGAATAAATTTAATCAGGATGGGAAAATCTTCGACAAGAAGGAAATAATCGGGAACAACATTGCTTTTATACAACAAATCGTTTTGTTTCTTTAGCCGTAATTCACTGAACGAAGAATGCAAAAATCTACTCACTGCGGTTTGGAATTCGAGGCCATGGCAACTGATGTTTCTTGTGTTTACTGTTCGCAAGTTCAACTGAGCCTGAAAGGAAACAACAACCAAAAAAAAACGTGAGGAATATAGCCGGGATAATTAAGCTTTCGATATACAAACAAAAAGTGCCAATTCACTGTCTTAAATAAGTCAAAATAGGTTGAAATACTTACAGTTTGTCAACAACGTCAAAATGGTCTTCAGCGCGTTCGTCTTGAGCAAGGACGCGGCTTGTTTACGTCACCATCATGCGCAGTGGTAGTCATTTTGGGTATTTTTACTTCCGTTCGGCTTTCGTCACGTCCGCGTCGTTGTATCTTAAAGTCCCTATTAACTGCCCAACTCTAGCTAAAAGGTGTTTCCTGTGTGGCAAGCAAGGTCATGAAGCGAGGAACTGTCGATCAGGTGGACGAAAGTCAGGAGGCCAAGGTAAGGATGGTAACCCTGTGCAACGTGGTCAAGTTAGTGCTGGCTGTTTGGTTAAGTCACCCGATCTTAACGCTACCCCCGAGGAAGTCAAGTCGTGTATTCAAAATGATCAGCTTCTGTTAGCCTGTGGCAAGAAAGTCCCGTTGCTGAGTAATGCTTGTGTTGAACCCTTAACTGGAGTAAGAAGTAAGATGCCTGTTGTAAAGGGTAGAGTTGGAGAGAAAACTGTTGACGTTTTAAGCGATACTGGTTGCACTGGAGTTGTAGTCAAGAAGGACCTTGTCGGCGAGGATCAGTTCACCGGAGACTTTAACGTTATGTTGCTTATTGACAACACTGCAAGGAAAGTGCCTATAGCAAGAATTTATGTTGATACCCCTTATCTTAAGGGCCATGTAGAAGCGCAGTGCCTTTCAGATCCTATCTACGACCTGATTATTGGCAACGTACCTGATGCCAGGGACGCACAAAATCCAGACCCCGGTTGGCAAGAGGCCTGTGCAGTGACTACAAGAAGTCAAGCTAAGAAAAAGGACGAACGCACAGCGTTGAAGGTGCCAAGTAGCCGTGAGAGCCCCATTGTGGATAGAGAGAAGCTCAAGCGGATGCAGGGTGAAGATGAGAGTCTGCGCAAGTACTGGGATCGAGACCATGTACTAGTAAAAGGTCAGGCAGAGATTTCATTTGAAGAAAAATGTGGAGTACTGTACCGTCTGTACAAGCACCCTTATGTGAATGGTGGAAAACCCCTTAAACAAGTCATGGTACCTGAAAAGTTGAGGCGCCCCATAATTAAGTAGCTCACGGATCGATCATGGGCGGTCACATGGGCATCAAGAAAACAACAGACAAAATCCAGAGCGCGTTTTATTGGCCTGGAATTCAAGGTGACGTGACTCGGTTTTGCAAGTCCTGTGACGTTTGTCAGAAGACTGTAAGTAAGGGATCAGTGCCGAAAGTAACGTTAGAGAAGATGCCGCTAATTGTGAAGCCCTTTAAGAGAGTAGCAATAGACCTTGTTGGGCCTATCAGTCCTCCGAGTGACGACGGACACAGGTACATATTGACGGTTGAAGATTTTTCGACTCGCTACCCTGAGGCAGTACCACTAAAGAACATCGATACGGAGACTGTAGCAGAGGCATTGGCTCATATCTTTAGCCGTCTAGGAGTACCCGAAGAAATCCTAAGTGATCTGGGCACACAGTTTGTCTCGGAGTGCATGAGAGAAGTTACCCGACTACTAAGCATTAAACAGCTTACAACAACACCCTATCACCCGATGTGTAACGGTTTGACAGAGAAGTTCAACGGAAC